TCCCACCCCGACATAAACACACATCTGCCTCCTTTAGTAAGCTCCGTGGAGAGGGTGGCTCTTGTGCATCTGTGCGATCCTGGCTCGTGTAGTTATGTCCCACTCTCTCTGAGTACTATTCAGAGCCTAGCCCTGTGCCAGTTAATCTGGAGTGGGGGAGCTGAGATGAATGAGATGTGGTGCCTAACCTCCAGGGGCTGACAGGCTGGTGGTAAAGACAGAAAGTTAATAAACAAATGTAATACGAGATGGTCTCTCCAGGTATGAAAGTTGTTTTAGTCATGACTCTATTCGTTGTAAGTAACAGAAACCCAAATCAAATTAGCTTATGCAAAAATGGGAGGAAGTTATATGGCTCTTATCACTCAAAAGAGTAAGGATAGGGTTAGCTTCAGTCATGGCTGGTTCCAGTGGCTCATATGACGTGTCTGGGACTTGATTCTGTACTCTCTCACTCAACCATGTAGATGAAGATCAGTTTGTCTGGGGCTTCTGCAGTGCGAGGTGCCAGAGGTGCCACTGACTGTCACTAAGGTGTCCCAGATTCCAGCCTGGTCTCCTCCAGGACCTAGAGCTGGGCTATTACAAGAGACCAGACTTCCATGGACTTCCATGGACTTCCTGGACACCTCCTTTCCTTGCCCCACAGTCCTTGAGCTGATATTGTAGGAGGTGTTTTGATGTGCACTTTGACTGTGAAATCTCTGGATTCTATGGGAACCTGGTTATGGGGATCCCAGGCAGCAATAGCCGTCCTGCCTTTCAGCATCCATCCACCTGGTGGTCACAAGCAGGGCCCCGAATGCCACTTTCACACTTATGAGCTGTGTGACCTTGGGTAACTGGGTTACCCTCTCTGAGCCTCAGTTTTGTCAGCTGTAAAGAGCAGATAATTTTTATCTCTGAGTTTTGTTTTGAAGATTAGATGTGACTGTGCATGTAAAGCACTTAGCATGGAGAGTAAACCCTCAAACATTAGCTGCTTCTATGATTCTGCTGCTTTTATACCAGCAGTAAAAGAAGTTCTATTTGGGGAATTTTGACTTCAGAGTGAGGTTGTTATATAAAGAGCTACCACTTATTATACACTTACTATATGATAGGCACTTTACATTTATTCCTCACAACAGCTCCTTGCAGTTGAGGAAACCAAGGCCTGAGGGGTTGAGTTCTTTACCAGGAATACACAGCTCATCAGTGATAGAACCAGCGTCACCCACAGCTTCCTGACTCCTCCTGAGCTCTAACCACCGCTCTGCTCTGCCTCTCTGGAATGAGATGGAAAATAGAAAATAAAGTGGCCTCAAGGGATACTTTTAAGGATATATGACTCAAATCAGTGCTGGCAAAAGAGGAATGTGGCATGAAAGAAATACTGAAGGGCTTCCAGTAAAAAATTAAGCATTTTTCTCCGAGTGGTCGGATTATGAATGCTATTTCTTTTCAGTGTTGTTCTGTATGGCGCAACTTTTCAAGGGTTGAGTACATACTACTTTGTAGTCAGCGGGGGAGGGAAGGTATAATTTCTACCCTGAAGCAGGAAGCTCAATTTTAAGCTCATATAAGCAAGTGTGAACAAGTTATATAACTAATAATCATGATGTGAGCAATTTTTGCGCAAATTGCATCATTTTTTTGTAAACCCCAAATGAAACTTCTGTATCTGGGAACACCTCAGGCCCCAGTGAAGCCTTCTAGGCAGCATTCTGCCTAGTCCAGCCCGAGGACTGAGGTATGGCAGAGAGGACTGTGTACCAGGAGACCTGGGGTCTGCGTCTGCATCTGGCACTCACCCTACCTGCTGACAGCCACGAGGCCGGTTACTTAATGTCTCTCAGTGTCAGTTTCCTATTCTACAAACAGGTATAATGAAAACCTGCCCTCCCTACCTCATTAGGTGGTGTAAAGATTGATACTAGTGGGTGTGAAAAATGATAGTCCCATCCGCTAGTAGAGGGCAGCTCTGTAAGCAGCCAAGGGGCTAGAGAGTATTCCCAGGAGAGTAGCAGGTCCTGCCCGTCCTGCCCATCCTGCATGAAGCATGAGAAGAAACTCATTGCACTGGCTTCTTGGGAGGGTATGTCATGGGGGCCAGCAAACCCAGGCTGCACGTCTCAGGTCGCCCAGAGGTACCACCCTCTGCGGGGAGACTGGTCATGGAGGCTTTTTAGTGGTGGCTCTAGAGTATATAATATGTGTCTTAACTTATGCTTTACTTTCAAATAATATTACGCTGCTTCATGTATAAAGTAAGAGTTTTTCAACAGTATATTTCCATTTTAACCCTCCCATCCTTTGTACTGTTGTTGCATAAATTCCACTTCTGCATATGTTGTAAACATCACAATATATTTTTCAGCCTTTTTTCTCTCTTTGCTTCGGTTTGGATAGTTTATATTGCTATGTCTTCAAATTCACTAATGTGTCTAATCTGCTGTTTATCCCCACAGAGAAATTTTTATCCTACATATTGTATTTTCATCTCTAGATACTCCATTTTTTTCTTTTCTGTATCTTCCATTTCTCTACCCATTATATTCATGTTTTCCTGTAAGTTCTTGAAAATATTTTAAGTAGATGTTTTTGAGGTCTTTTTTGTTAATTCCACCATCTCAGTCACTTCTGAGTCTGCTTCTTTTGACTGATTTTTCTCCTGGTTATGGGTCACACTTTCCTCCTTCTTGGCATATCCAGAAATTGTTTACTGGATGCTGGATATTGTGAATATTATTTTGTTAAGTGTCTGGATTTTGTCCTCATGTAGAGAGTGTTGGATTTCATTCTGTCAGGCAATTAAGTTACTTGTGGATCAGTTTGGTTCTTTTGTGGCCCATTTTTAAGATTTGTCAAGGCAGGTCTAAAGTAGCCTTTACTCTGGGACTGGGTTAGCCCTACCAACATGGCATGAGCTTTCTGGGGTCTCTGCCAAATGCCCTAGGTGGTCACTCTCCACTCTGGCTAGGCAGAACTTGAACATCTCCCAGCCTTGCCTGAGTGGTGGGAGGTGTTCAACTTATTACTTGTTTCTTGTGGATCGTGTAGAGTCTCACTCTCTTTAGCCAAAGACTCAAGGAGACCCCTATTGAGATATCAGGAACTTTCTCTCTCTTTGCCCGTTTCTGTCTGGTGCTCTGCCTCTCAAATCCCAGCCGCCTCAGCCTTCCTGAACTTTTATCTCTGTCCGTCCCCTCAGTAAGACCGCTGTGCTCTGCTTGGGCTCTCCCTCCCGGCACTGAGGTCTAGTCAATGCCTCCAGGCGGAAAGCCAAGGCAATCATAGGACTCGCCACGCTTGTTTCCCTTCTGTCCCAGATCATAGCCCTGTGCTGCCTATTATCCAGCCTCTGAAACCACTTGTTTCATGTATTTGTCCAGTTTTCTAGTTGTTTACAGTGGGAGCTAACAATTCCCTTTGAGATCTGCCTGGGGTAGTGCACCAGTGATCCAGCCTGGATGCATGCTTCCTCAAGAAACTTGTACAAAAATGGATTTAGGGCTAATAAAAGTCAGGGAAAAGTCAGTAGGGTCATTCTGATCTGCTTCTCAGAGAAACTCAGGATAAAGACTCACAACCCAGCACCAAGTCATATTTTATAAAAGGAATCGTTAGTGTCCATCATCTGATGACTGGATAAATAAAAGTGGTATATCCTTCCATGGAATATACTTTCACAATCAAAAGAAATGGAGTACTGATACATGCTACCACATGGATGAACATGCCAGGTGAAAGAAACTAGGCACGGAAGACCACATCTTATGTGATTCCATTTATATGAAATATCCAGAATAGGCAAATTTATACAAACTGAAGACAGATCACATTAGTGGTTGCTTACTGCTGGGGTGGGGGTGGGGTGACTGCCGATGGGTACAGGATTTCTTTGGGGGAGGACAAAAATGTTCTAAAATTAGACTGTGGTAGTCATCGCCGAATCTTGTGAATATACTCAGAAACGTTGAGTTACATGCTTTCAATGGGTGAATTGTACAGTATGTGAATTTTATCTCAGTCAAACTTTTATACAGAGAAAGAAGGCTTATTAGCAGTTTTCTTCTATACTGCAGGAAGTGAAGGACCAGAAAGGGGCCTTGGAGGTGGAAAGGGGGTCTCGGTTATTTGCACAGGTGTATGTCCATGTTACAGGTGGTATTCAGTCTTGGACTGAAAATCGTGACCACAGGAGGGTTTACATGGTTTATTGGGGGATGACTAATGTTGGATGTTAGTCTTGAAATCCATTTGCTCTTTCTTAAGTACCTCAACCATAAGGGGATTCTTTCAGAGTCTCAGTTTTACCCACGTTTAGTCTTCTCCCTGGGCCCTTGTCAGCAGTGAGTGTTCATTGAGTGGCTGCCATCTGCAGGGAGCAAGATGGCATGTCCAGCCTCTGCCCTGACCCCAGAGGGACCTGAGAACAGGAGCAGGAACTGTCACGTGGCCACTGAGAATTACAACGTCACCTTTGTGTCCTCCGTGTCATGTTCAAAGCCATCAGAATAAGAGACAAGTGGTCAGATCCCAGCAGAGGGAGGAGGGTAGGCACACTCTTTCTGTTGACTTTTCTGTTGTCTCGGAGGGGTCTTCAGCAGTATACCCCTGAGAGGATATTTAAGTTAAGACCTTGAGCGTTGCTTAAAAATACTAATAGCTAACATCTGTTGAGTGCTTTGAGTGTGTTCAGAGTGCTGTTCTGAGTGCTTTCAAGTATTATCAGCACCTCGACTGATGTGTCTTCCCCTGTAGTAGAGAACGTGAGAAGACTGTGTTTCCTTTTTCCACTATTCTGTTTTTCAGATTAATTTTCAGTAATTCAGGTAGATTTTTCCTTCAGATTTTGAGGTCTTATCACAGCAGTTCGGTAATTCAGCATGCAAACTGGACCTGGCCTTCAGCCAGCTGAGCTGGGAGGTTGGCCGGGGGCTTCCCGGGCCTGGTGCGCTCGGTGCCAGGTGAGGACAGTGCACTCATCAGATGTGCCATGTGTGGTTTTCCTCTAGGATCATCCATGAAGATGGCTTCTCTGGAGAAGACGTGAAACAGTATAAGCCTGTTGTCTACAGCAACACCATCCAGTCCCTGGCAGCCATCGTCCGGGCCATGGACACTTTGGGCATCGAATATGGTGACAAGGAGAGAAAGGTAGGCCGCTGAGCCCATGGGCACAGTGAAGAGAGGGGCTGTCTCCACTGCTGTGTTGGGGGTGGGAGCAACCATTTGAATCAACTCTCTTCCATCCTTTACATCAAAAGATGTGTTTTCTGCCTCTTCAAGTTGAGTCTGAGGACCTAAGGGGCTCTCCTTCCAGTAAGAAGTCGATGTCCTAGAACAAGGACAGTTTTTTCAGTTGGGTTGCCGGGCATCTGATAAGTGTTGAATGGAATAAGTATGTAAAAGCCTCTTATTTGCAAACATTTGCATTAACTGTAAGACTGAGCTATACACAGCTACACTGGCAAAACTCAATAAAAGGGGGTAGGGAGGAAAAGCAGCTTCAGAGAATTCTATCCAGACGTGCATCTTTGTCTCCTGGTGGGATTCTGAACCCCAGCGATCCTAGAGCATGGAGAAGGGGAGCAGATGGAGGCCTCTGAGCGCCTGGGCCCCTCAGTGGAGCCTCTGGACACAGAGCATTAATCTCTGATGATGATGTGGTTTGGTTATGTGTTTATATACTTACCCTGTCTTTGCTAAAAATCACCTCCCTTACAGAGGAAAACTATCCTCGCCTTCTCTGGGTCTGATAAATCATCTGTGACAGATAGCTTTAAATGCAAAATTCAATATTTTATGCACAAAATCCTAATTCTATGGGGCAGAGTCGTCCAGCTCAGGCACTGGCTCCTCCTGGAACAGGGGCAATGGGTGACTGAGAGCGTGTCTGAGTCCAGGAGCTGGTTCTGCAGAGGAAGTTCTTCTCCCCAGGGGCCAGCTTTCGTTTTGGTCACAGAGCCAAGGCCTGCAGAACGAGGGGCACTGTGAGTTCTTCTGTCTTGTTTCCACTCAGTATTCACTGAGGGTACAATGCACTGGGCGCTGGGAATACAGGACCCAGCTCAGTAGGAGTGGTGCCAGAGAAACTGGGCAGCAAATAGCAACTCGGATCACCAGAAGTAGCCAGGATGGTCTGCAGGGCTCCATTTATTTTAATAGTAATGGCCACAGTGGTAATACAAATAGCTCTCATGTATTGAGCACCTACTAGCTGCCAGGCACTGTAACTCACTTTAATCAACTCAGGCATTAAAGCCCAGAGCAGGAAATGCCTGGTCTGATCTTCAGACACGGAACAGGCCACAGGCCTCTGGTCTCTCTGTCTCCTCTTTGGCCAAAGAGAGAGCACGATGCCTGAATCTCAGTTAACCAGATGACAGACACAGTGCAAAAGGCTCATGTGTCCAAGGCATGCGCATGTGCACCCTGGCACGCGCACGCCCGCACACACACACACACACACACACACACACACACACACTGCCTGCAAAATCTTCCAAGAGTGTGTGTGTTCACTGCCATACCTACCTCCCAACCAACTGTTCCTTCCCAACCTCCTGCCCTGATCATAACCCAGAATAGTCAGTGTGACTTTGGAATGCTTTTCTCCTTCAGTTTTGGAAACATTCATTGTTCCTGGATTTTTTTTTCCATTTTACTATCCTTAATAGAGAGATGATTGCTTGGAAATTGCTAGGAACATAGTATATTAAAGACTATACTCCAGGGCCCCTCAGCCTCTGTGGCTGTTTCTCTTCTGTGGGATTTCCCAGTCGAGACAACCCTCAAATAGGAGATTGGGAAAGTCTCCAATGGAAAGGGAGACTGAGAGCAGAGTGGGGACTCCCTGAAGAGTCCACTGGACACTGCGGAGCTGGAGCCCAGCCTGTTACAGTTGGTGACACCACGGCTGCTGCCTGACCCATCCCGAGGGCAGCGCAGGCTCGTTAGGTGCAGTCCCTCTGGCTGGCAAAGACCCCCAGGCCCTGGGGGCACCTCCCCCTGTGTTATTTCACCTTAGGCCAAAATGAGCCAAGCAGCTGGAGAAGCTGTTTCCTGGGAGCGGGCTGGTGTGGATTTGCAGTCTGGACAGCTGGGTGCAGGGAACCCTGTGTATCATTTTGGGTTGGGGGGCAGTGGGGGCAGCTACCAGGTAGCCAGGGAAGGTTCACCTGAGCCTGGAAGGGACACTAGTGTTGGAATTTGACCATGAAAAGGAGCCAGCCATGGGAGGAAGAGGGACAGAGATTCCAAGCAGACACCACCAGGGTCCTAGGTGAGGAGTGAGCCTCGCAAATTGGCAAAAGAGAGGCTCCATTCAGCCTGAATCTGTGCCCATGGGGAGGGGTGGGGCCTGGGCGATTGGACACCCTCTAGTCCAGTCTGCCTGTGGCCCGCCACCTGTCAGTGTCCAGATGCCCTGACCCCACGGCTGGGTTTCCAAGCTCTTTCCTCTCTCAGGTCCCCAGTAGGGGATCTGCTGTTTTGATTTTGGGAAAATGGCTCCATGCAGAGCAGACCCAGATTAATGTTTTGGCCTCTAAAGAAAAGCCCTCCTTCCCTGTTCTTGTCTTCCCAACCTCTACCATCCTCCCCACATGCAGCACCTGCTTGGGCCAACCAGCTTTACATTCTCCAAACAGAGAAGCATCTAGATGCTTCCTTGCTGTACCTCATTAGGAAAGCATCCCTGACTTCTCTCAGCAGCTGCTTCACCCTCTGCCCTGGCCCCCAGTGGAGGGAGGACTGACTGGTTTCTCCCTCGGCCTCTCTGGGTTGCGGACTCACGAGGCCACATGGCAGTGCGTGAGCCCAAGCCTGAAAGAGCCTCCACGTCAGGCAAATAGCAGGGACTCCGTCAAGCACCTCATGCCCCAGCACTCAGCAAGGACCAGCTGAGTTCCCATCTTTGCATGAAGCTTTCCTCTCCTTCCCCGACAGCAGAGCTCAGTGCAGTGTTTTCTCCATTGAGCCCGTATCTCATGCACTGTGTCAGTTTTTCCTTTGAGCAATGACCCTTGCACTTTAGGGTGGTCAAAATCCATTTGAGCAGCTAATGAAAGCCATGAGACTTCTCTCCAGAGCCGTGCACCTGCACACATACCCAGGAAATTTTGCATATAATTTCAGGGCACTCTGGAACTCAGAAAGCCCACCAGTGGAGTCTAGAGTAAGAACTTCATTATCTAAGAGCTTTCTGCTCAGGGTCTGTGTCATTCATCTTTGGGTCATCTCCTCAGCCCAACAACCAGCACAGTGCTCAGCACACAGTAGGTCTCACCAAAAAATCCCTTGCATGGAATTACACTTCTAACTTTCTCAGTTCTCAGAGAAAAAGGAAAAGTACCTGCAATTTTATCATTAGTGAATAGATGGTGACTGAGTACTGACTATGCGTGGACTTTGTTCTAAGCTCTGGGGAAAGAGTCAGAGGAATGTGAAATAGAGCCTTGAAGGGGCTGGTCATCTTCTTGGGAAGACAAGGTTCATAGGCTGAATGACCCCAGCAATTGCATGAGAGGTGAGGGAAAGCTTCTTAGTGGAAGTGAGGCTGTAGCTGTCCTCAAAGCAGCACATGGCTTGACAGGTGCAGGTGTGGGTGAGGAAAGGGACTTGAAGCAGAGAAAAGCATGAATAAAGGCTGTGGGTTGGTGGTAACCAAAGAAGATTTGATTGACGGAGGAGGCCAGTGGCCGGTACAGAGGATTAGGATATGGGAAGGCGTGAGAAAGTTAGAAAATACAGTTAGGTCCAGATTGGGTAGATCTTGGAAAGTATGCCAAGGAGTTTGGGTTTTATCCTGTTGGCAGTAGGTAGCCATTGATAAATTTTGGCATGTGCAAGGTGGGCTAAGTGGTGGGATAGACTGAAGGTAGGGAGACAGGTTGGGAAGCTGCAGTAAGGGTCTCCATGGGGGTTGGAAAAGAAGGACAACAAAGTGATGTGTGGTGATGAAAGAAGGGGCCCGGTGATTAATTGGCTGCTGGTACTAAAGGTTAAGGATCAGGAAACTGGGACTCCACTGTTCCCAGCCTAGATGACTGGGAACCAGGAGAAACCTCTGGCGGAAAGTCAGGAGAAGTGCTGATCTGGGCCAAATATGGTTTCAACCTAATAGGCTCCAGGTGGGAGTGATCAGCAAGTAGATGGCTTCAGAGAACTGAAGCTCTGAGAATTAAAGACGATCATAATCGTCACTTTCAATTTTTATATTCCAGGGCTCATATTAAACCATTTACATTTATTAAATTATTTAATCCTGACAAACACCTGTGCAGTGGGTGCTATTGTTACCCACATTTTACAAATGAAGAAAATGAGGCCCAGAGAGGCTAAGTGTCTTGCCCAAGGTCATGCAGTACAAAATATATATGCATATAATATAGATATGTAACCCTAATGAAGCTATAATCCATGTGACTCGGGTCCAGGGCAGAGTCCCATTTAAATAGGCACAAGATAATAGTCAAAACAGATCTTCAGAAGAATCCCATTTCTTTGTTCTGAGTCTCTCTACAATATGAGAAGGGACTCAAAGGACAACTCCCACTGCTCTTCTCCTGTGTCCTTTTCTGCCTTCTTCATGTCTGTCCCACCCCCACTCTCTCGAGCTGCTTTCTCCCCCAGTTCTCCAGAGATCATCTCTTTGCCACCAACCTTCCAGGCTTTTTCTCTCCAGTCCTCTCTCTCCTTCTCACTCTCCCACATTTTCCCTCCTGACTTCTTCCTCCTCTCCTGCTCTCTGCCTGGAAGGGGTTCACTCTCCTCCTCTCCCTCTCTCTCTTTCTCTGTCTATTCCTTGGTTTCTCTCTTTCTTCCTTTGTGCCTCCCTCCCCATCTCTCTCCTTCTCCTTTCCCTTCCCTTCTCTCCCCCTCTCTCTCCCTCCTTCCTTCCCTCCCTACTCACCCCCAGCTCATTATCCTGTAAACGGTCATAACCTTTTGAGTGGAGCCCCTCCCCTCCCCTCGTCCTGGGTTCTCAGCCCTGGGCCTGCATCTGCATCACAAAAGCAGAGAAACTTGTCTGGTATAACTGGTTTAAACTAAGACACTGGAAGAAAGGATGAGGGAAACTGGGCAGTTACAGGATTAGAAGGTTCACTTGGACCAGCAGGAGGGTAGGTAAAGTCTACAAACAATCCCACGAA